ATCAAAATATTTTATTTATAAACCAAATTAACAAATAGTAGTTTTGTCAAAGTAACTGTTCGATATGTCCACCATTTTCTTTAATTCATTTGTCAATACATTCCATAAAAGATCGTCTCATATTAAATAGCCTCATTGGTTCTAAATAAACTTCCTTTTTTTAATTCTTCCTGGAACTTCTATAATTCGTAATATTCTTTCCATTTTGGGAATACAATAAATAAATAAACACAAACACAAAATACAACCAAAAAACTGATTTCAAATAATGTTCTTGTCAATTAACCCTGCCGTGCACTGGTTGGGTCTATCGGGCCATTCAGTTTTTCTAATATCTCTATTCGGTCATCGAGTCTAAGTACGGTCCTGGCGGTCTAGGTACCTTTCGACGGCATGACTACATGACCAGCTATAATCCCTTAGTTATTAATGCGTATTGAAGCGATAGTGTCGATGTTATATCTGTTTTCGTTCTCTCAGACCCAACCCGTTCCTTAATGTAAGTATTTTTTTTATGAAAGTACAAAACAAAATTTGAAGTGCATTGTTTTTAGAGCTTATCAAAACAATGTATTCTTACGAGGAAGACGTAAAACGTGTGCAATGTCTGTCCCTACGAGGAAATTGCAACCGACGATGAAGAAAATTATGAAGATTCAGAATCCGATGAGACTATTGTTGGAAAATTAGAAAATGAAGATGATAATCATATCTCAGAGTCTGAATTCAATTTATCAGACACCGAACTAAACTTACAAGAATTTATTTTACAAGGTGGGTTAAACCAACATCTTTACTACAATATCAAAGATGGAATGAAATGGAATAAGACATGCGGATCACAAAATGTTAGAACTAGACAAGAAAATATCATCACAAAACTTCCTGGAGCAAATTCGTGAAGCGAAAAGTTGTACAACTGAAAAGAAATGCTGGAAACTGTTTTTTAATGATAAAATTATAAAAAATAGACAAACTTGCAGCAGTTAGAGTCGTATTCGAGGATGTAGTTAAAAATGTTTAAGAACATTTAACAAACCGGACCGATACGGTCTGAGGGTATATTCTTTGGTGGATTCTCTTACTTTCTATACTTATCAATTAGAAATCTATGCCGGTACACAACCACCAGGTCCATATTCTATCAGTTCTGCAGCCTACTATGTGGTTGAGCGGCTTTGCAAATTAATCTCCAAATACAACCGGAATGTCACAATAGACAATTGGTTTACATCAATTAAAGTCGCACAAAACTTACTTACAAATCATACAACAAATCATACAAATGTCTAACAATTACAAAAGGCATATCCCAACCGAATTTTTATTGATCAATAGACCGCCAAAATCAATTATGTTTGGATTTACCAAGAATATGACAATATTGTCCTGTATACCAAAACCAAAAAAAAAACATGTTTTTCTTTTGTCAACCATGATGACCGAATCGATCCGACAACGGGTGACGAAAGTAAACCTAAAGTAATAACGTTCTATAACTCTACGAAAGATGGTGTGGACACGGTTGATCAACTTGAAGTTCCTATACTGTCGCAAGAAACATAGAAAGTTGGCCAATGGTCATCTTTTATGAATTGCTTGATGTTGCTGCAATAAATGCATTTGTGATACAGAAAACTAACAAACTGAATCTATAAACAAGCAAAAGAAGATTTTTTTTAAACTAGGTTTTTAGTTAGTAATGTACAATATAAAAGACAGAACTCAATCTCCTCATTTGGCACGATATATAAGAGAGCTTGCTGCTAAACTCAGTGGTGTTGGACCAGTACAAGCACCTGCGAAATTGCAAAATAAAATGGAGCGTTGTGCTTATTGTAGAGATCGTAAAACTCAATAAGTACATGTGTCACTATTGTAAAAAAATTATTTGCTTGGAACGTACCGTGCCTGTTTGTCGCATATGCATTGATAAAATCACTGAATAAGTTATATACAAGGTGTTTTTTAAATATCGGCCATATTGTAGTACGTAATTCCTTTTATATTTTTAGTTTTAGTATTATAATAGAAGTTCATTTTCATTTAATGTATGTAAGTTGCCTTTAGTAGTAGTTTTAATATATGCAATGCAAACCTGTTGTTACAAAATTAAACATAAAAAATTTTTAGTTTAATTTTTGGGTTTCTCAGACCCAACCCGTTCTTACGTGTATCAAAGTATCACCCGTGCACCGAAGGGTTAATGACATTGTTTAGCCACCTTATTATTTAATTTTATTGGTCGAATGAGTTGAAGCGTGGTATTTAGAACCAGAAGTCGAGGGTTCGATCCCAATGAGGGAATATATTTTTTTAATTATTATGTTCGGATTTTTGAAGTTATACTTCTATATGCGCTAGTGATGTAACAAATATCATGTTTTGAATATTCTCGAATGCGAATATATGCCACCGAAATTCGCAAATGCGAATATAGTCAGTTTTTTTTAATTTGACAATTTTAATTGTATTCGGCACTGCCCGGCTGTCTTATTTGCGCAAGGTGTGTAGTTAGATAAGTTCAAATAAATTTAATAATTCAGCAATTGTGCAGAAAATCTTGTCGTTTTGGGAAATACTCAAAAAAAAAGTGAAATGTGTAGTTCACGATGCAGGCGCTAATATGAAGGTGTTAACTTATTAAATGTTGAACATCTTCACAGTGACCCTCACAAGATTCAAAACTTGTTAAAAGCAAGGATGAAGGCTCAAGAATCTGTCGTGGCTTCCATACGAAAATGCAAAAAGATGGCAACTCATTTTCATCATTCGACTGCTGCCCAAGATGAGCTGACCAATATACAAAAATGGCTTAATCAAAAGCCTCTTATGATTATCCAAGAATGTGCTATTAGGTTGAACAGCTTTGTTTGTTTACATTGCACGATTTATTTTTTGTTTTCTAAGCTTGTAAATTAAAGTGAGTTTTCTTAATAAAAAAACTGAGAAGTGAATGGATTTTAATTTTATTAACATCTTCATGTTTTTTTGTTATATTCATATTTCCAACATATCCGCACAAATTTCGCGAATGCGAATATGCAAAAATATGCGAATATTCGTTACATCACTAATACGCACGTTCGACGTTGGAAATTTGTACAGGAGTGAATCGGCAAAATCATTACATATGTAAGATATAGTTAAGACAGAGAGACAGAAGATATATTTTCTCTCGAGAATAAAAATTTTCCTTTTGTAAATATGTTTAATATTATTATTTTATATATTTTATATTAATATTATTATCATGGTAAATTAAATATATGCGTAAGTAGGTTATGTATATTGTCATTTTTAAATACTTATAAATATTGCATTTTAATTTGTACTGTATTATTATATTGGACTATGTTGCAGTGTTTTGTATTGTATTTTTATATTAATAACAAAATAAACAATGCAATGGAATTTTACTGCAGAGTATGTGTAAAAATTTTTTTTTGCATTCAACTCTTTTCTTTTTTGCATAATATATGAAAATAAAAATATACATTTTCTTCAAAATATTGATTCAATTCTTCATTTACCATACTCCTATTACAAGTCAAATGTTGTTTATATACAGAAAACGATGCATCATATACTTATATACCTAATTCTGTTGACTACCATATAAATTTGTAATGGCGAACGCGTGTATACAAGTATAACTTCTACCGGTAATCCCACTGGACTGCCAAACCCGTTTTTTTACGAACCAGTACGTATGAAGGATGGTATGAAGTATAATATATATTATACGTCGTTGTCAAATCTAGCTGTACGAAAAATATGCGGCTGATGAAAAGCCCTATTTAGACGAATTTGCATTCTTAGTACGCCAGAAGACCCTTTTCCTGTACACAAAGTTGGATGATGTATAGACTTGTCTGCACAGCAACAGCATCAACTTAATGCAGCTCACGTGCAGCCAAGATTAATAGGATAGCTCCACAAACTTGTTGGTGCAATTCAAGATTACAGTCAAGGTTAATAACTAATGTATAACACAAAGCCGGATATATATATATATATATATATATATATATATATATATATATATATATATAACACAAAGAGATATTTGAATGTAAAGAATTTTCTTCCTTCCACAATGGCTGTCCAAATGTCGAAGTCAAATCTGCAATCTTCAACGATCGACTTGTTTGTATTTAATTACTGCTTAGGCGATTTGATGAGTTATGAAATTGCGTATATCTTAAATGTCATTAAAGCTTAGATTAAACTAAATACATACAATTTGTAAACTGTGTAGAACCACCGTAGAACTATTAATTTCGCAACCTAACATCAAATGCCATTACCGGACTGCTGATACAAACAATTTGATCATGCGCACTCATGACAATTAAGATTATTTGTTTTGTACATTAAAAATAGGGAAAGTACTTAATTAGGGAAATACTGTGTTTCTAGAACGAAACATAAAAAATTATTTCCCTTTAGCTTTACGTTTGTTTGACAGCTATATGGAAAAAGCCATTAAAATACCAAGAAATTACAAATTCAATTAGTAATCTTCTAGAAAATTCGTGCAAACTATAAGAGCTATTTTAGACCATCAACAATTTTTAAACTTAAAATAGATTTTGTATTTTGTAACATCGTTAAAATAATTTATAGTATTCACTTTAATAATATATAATATTCATAATATTCAATATAATAGTCGATAATAATTTACATTTATATGAGTACCTTATATTTTTATAGTATCCCCTGAGATATATATTGTTACACATTCGGTTTGGAAATATCTCTTTAAAATTTAAAGTTATTTACAGATTAAAAAAAATATTTTAAAACTCAAGCAATCAAACATATACTTAGGGACACAATTTACAATATTTAGTCAATTAAAATTTCATGACATACTACAATACCTTTTGTCTTTTAATAATGACCTTTTTTTAGTATAAACTATAGACAAATAGAACTTTTTATTATTTCTTAATCTAATAATAGTTCAATAGTCATAGGATTAAAGCAAGGAAACGGTTTGGCACCTATTTAACCTGTCTGTTGAATATGTGAAAAGGCAGTTGAATGTAGGAAGAGCTAATCTCCTAATATATATTGTTATATATAGATAATCTCCTAATATAAATCAATACAGATTGCCGCCTATGCCAATGACATCAGCATTGCCTGCAAAACGGAATAGGCGGCAGAAATATATTCACAATTAAAAACAGGTGCAAATGAGACCGTACTATAAATAAATATTCAAAAGACAAAAAAGTTAACACATACAAGAGCTAGAGGGTCAAATATTGATTTAAGATTTTGGCATGGTGGTCGCATTAGGCATTTTACTATTATTTGTAGATTCGAGCTGTCGTAGTTGACGGGCAGAGTTTTAAACCACTTTTAACACTTTTTTAGTATCGAATCATATTTACTTTGGCGGTGCTGATGGAGCAGTTGGATTTGAAGAAAAATCTCCTTTCATACTATCTTGATAAGATGGCGGAGGTGGTTCTGATGCACCATCTAAAAAATATCAACTTAAATATCGAAAAACATTGATTGCAAAATACCAACCATCTATCATTTCAAAACTATCTTTCTCTGCCAATTGTGCTTTTGAAGGGGCAGATGGAGTACCGTCTTCTCTTGGAGCACTTGCGCCACTAGAGGAAGCTCCTCCTGGTGGCATAGGCATTGGCATTCCTTTCTCTGGATAGGGAGCTCCACTAAAACCAGCCCCGTTGGGAACAGGAAAACCTGAAGCAGGGCCTGTTGGATATGGTGGAGCTTTCTCGCCTTCTGGAGGGTAGGGAGGAGGATTAGACGATGGATCATCATACATTGTACGAGACGGGAATGCTCCTTAAAGTAAAAATGATCTGTAGAAAGTGTTCTAGAAAAACTATTATCAAATACACTACAAAAAGTATCACATATTTTTTTAAACCTTTCCATTTTAAAGTATTTTGACTAAAAAATGAGTACTATAACATTAGAACAGGTAGTCCAAATTGTAGTCTTAATTGTAAACGGATGGTACAAGCAGTAAGTTGCAATTTATGAGAATCAATCAATCCAGCGTTTTAAAAAAGTTTAGATAAACTTAGTTTAAATAGCAGTTTTAAGAATAGTAAAAATAGGACAGTTTCTAAATACCATATCCAACTTCGCAGACGACCATTATTTACATCCAAATAATTGTAAAATGATCTCTCTGTCCATTATGTTCGAATGTGTGCCAATTCCGTTAAAACCCGATTAAAACAAAAATTAAATCAGAACCAGAATGCACGTTAGTGCCCAACTGTTTCCCAGAGCTCACCATGTGGTGTATGTAAGATTTAATGTTAATTGAGATATTAGTGATTGGCTTAATATTTTTACAGATAAGTGCAGATTTAATTTTGGGATTGGCTAAATACATTTTAATTTACCATTTCAGCGCTTGCGCCCATATATTTTACACCAAAGCGCTCGTGACATAGTTTTTATGTATTTTAGATAAATGTGAGTTATCTCATATTTCTTGAATGTAAATCATAAAACCTATAAATTTATCACAAACATTTTTATTTCAAATCCTTTATAAAAGGTATATAATACCTTTATTATATACCTTTTATAAAGGATTTAAAATAAAATTTTTTGTGATATGTGGTATACAGCCAGCTACAGGAACTTAGTTTCCTAGTGGATATAAATTTATGACAAATAATAACGAATAAATACATTTATTTGCAAATTTAAAAAAATAAAACGACAATTACACATTTACTTTCTAGCCTAGGTAAACAAATAAATCAATGTACAGTTCAAAACTATCATCCTGACTGTTTGTATTACAAAAGTTACACATAACTATAGTAAGTGAATGTTTTTTGCAAAAAAAGAATTGCATTTAACGCATTTTGAACAACAAACTCCACGTTTTGGAAGACGAACTGTTTCCTCGTATTCATTTGCAGTTTGTCTATATCTGATTTTTACAGATCTGAGGTTAAATCTGTATAAAACTTGGGTATTTCTTCCACTTATATTCAATAAAGTGTAAAATATAAGACAAGGCCATCTCCTAGAGATGAGAGAAGCTGAATATGTTGCACACATTTTGTCCACCGTATCAACAGCCCCTTTAGTTCCCATACAATCCATAGTTACTGGTTTTTGACTGGCTGAATTTCGTCATTATCGTGTAAAGTTAAAACCAGTATCAAAAGACACGAGCATCATGTTTTTTTTTTGGAATTCAAAGACATTTTTTAGTACCTTTTTCCTTGTTAGGTAAAAATGCAGGAATTTCTGCCTTATTTTTTTTTAATTTTAACTAAAGTGATTTTTTTGCAGTCAATAATAAGCAAGTGGAGCACTAGTATAGTAGTTGTCGGTGGTTAAATTTCGATTGGTATTCTCTATCGAAGAATCAAGTCTCTTTACAATGTCAGTTGGTGAGTTGGATGTAATGTACGGACCATTGGACTGTTTGCCGCAATATATTTTTAAATTTGAAGTATACCATGTCTTTGCATCATATAAAGCATACTTTTTGATGCCGTATTTTGCTGGTTTGATTGAAACGTACTGCACCCAACAGCAACGTTTGAAGGATGTTTGAATATTGCAACCAATTTGTCAATTCATCATGTTTTTTTTTTGGAATTCAAAGACATTTTTTAGTACCTTTTTCCTTGTTAGGTAAAAATTCTGCCTTATTTTTTTTTAATTTCAACTAAAGTGATTTGTTTGCAGTCAATAATAAGCAAGTGGAGCACTAGTATAGTAGTTGTCGGTGGTTAAATTTCGATTGGTATTCTCTATCGAAGAATCAAGTCTCTTTACAATGTCAGTTGGTGGGTTGGATGTAATGTACGGACCATTGGACTGTTTGCCGCAATATATTTTTAAATTTGAAGTATACCATGTCTTTGCATCATATAAAGCATACTTTTTGATGCCGTATTTTGCTGGTTTGATTGGAACGTACTGCACCCAACAGCAACGTTTGAAGGATGTTTGAATATTGCAACCAATTTGTCAATTTAACGGCGCTTTAATCTGGTTGTGCGATCATCAAATCTCAAGCAAGTTGTTATAGACAAAAATCCTTTGTAACTCATAACAGCCTTTGTTATCTCAATTCCTGTTCCGTCGCTTGCCAAAATTTCTCTGACATTTGCAAAATTCGATTTTTGTATGCCAATCAAAATCAACAACCTTAAATACGCCATAATCTTATTTCTGCATATATACTTACAGTCTGGTTTACAGGCTGCTCTTTTAAAATGTATTTTTTTTTTGTCTTAGATGAAGTTGTCGTTTTTATTTTGTACCATTGGGTAGTTTTATCTTTTGCTACATAATAGTTATAAAGTGAAGCTGTTACGGATTCTTCATCGGATAATCCCACTTCAGAACAATGTCTACATCTTCTTCTTCTATATACTTCTATATCGTAGTTCAGTATAATTTAAGATAGTCAGAAATTTTGAAGCTAGTTCAATTATGTTATGAGAAGGCATCTGCTTTGAATGTTATAAAAAGTTAACAGTGTTTTGTAGGGGATCTCCGACAGTGATCGGTATATTAGGAGGGCTCCTGAGCAAGATATTGTGCCGCTGCCAGACTAACAATGTAATAAAATGTATTAAGGGCAGAATGGAACAATTAGATCTTGAGTATCTACACAAGGAAGAAATGTAAGACTTAAAAGGGCATTGCTAGATGTTCTTAGAGTCAAAGATGACAATACTATTTTCGTTGAATTATTGTTAGTTTTAGCATTTTTGCATTTAATTCTACGATTTTACACAAATAAATTGCTGTTAAAGATTTTTTTTCTTACCTAATATTTTCATAAACTTTTGGGAGAAAATAATAAAATTTTTTGAACAAAATCCAATTATAGGATACTTTTTGTGATATGTATTTTATTTTGTCATATATTTTTGCTTTTAACTGAAATGCGATGTATTTTTGTATAGTGCTTAATTCTACTAAATATCTACCGTGAATGAAAAACATTTAAAAACCTTAAAATATACATGCAATTTATAATTACCTCCTGGTGCTTCATGCACTGGTATCATATTCACTTGGGAAGGTGGAAACTGATTTCCAATAAGTGGAATATGACCTAATTTTACACCGGTAGAAATATCCAAATTAGAGTGACATCCTGGTATTACTGCCTCAACCTAAAAAATCACACATTTAAAAAACTAAAAAATTACTTTTATAAGGAATGTCTTACGTTTAGTACACACCACTGTTTAAAAAGATAACTTCCGGCGAAGTTTGGAATCATGGCATTATGTGGTATTTGGAAATCAAACGTATATGTTCTTTGACCATGGGCTCCTACACCTGTAGCTGATGTAAGAGCTATCAGTTCATTGTCATATTTGTGATGGGTTCTTGGACTGGTAGTTTTTGATTCTATGGTCTAAAAATAATAATACTACATTAAAATATTTTGTCAAATCTTATTATTAATAATTCTGCTGATATATTTATTTTATTAAATATTTTGTTAACTATTAACTTTAGTTAAAGGTATTTTATACAAAAATTTAGGAAGTATTAATGCTTTTGTCTATTTTTTCTTCGTTGCCAGGAGTAATTTCCTTAAATCAGAATTATGCAGCTGATTTGTAAAATGCGATTATCTCGAAAACTGTTGAGTTTTGAAGTTATTAACAGGTATACTTTGGTTAAAACAGGTATATACTTTTTTTTGTTAAAATAATGTATCTTTAATATTTTTTGTCACAAATACACAATACAGGTAACTTAAAGAGCAAAAAAGTTAAGTGCAAATTTATGCCACATAAGTGGCAAATGTGGCGCCCTCTATCAGCTATATCAAAATGTGCATCAAATTATAATTTCTCATATTTAAAAGCACCCAATTGTAAATTTTTATACATAAATGTTTACAGACATAGAAGTTATAGCGAAAAATAAAATTTTAAATTTGCACTTTACCACCCTGTACCTTTCTTAATCATCATCTTTGGCTCGACAATCCTCTGTGGATCTTGGCCTGCTCTAAGATTCGTCGCCATTCTGTTCGGTTTTTGGCAACATGTTGCCATCTTCTGATTTTTAATATTCGTAAGTCGGTTTCTACTCCATCTAACCACCTAATTCGCGGTCGGCCTTTGCTTCTTTTTCCTACAGGTGTTCCTGTGGTTAGCTTTTTAGCAATGGTATTTTCTGGCATTCGTATTATGTGTCCAGCCCATCTAAGTCGCTGTGTTTTAATGAACGTTATGACATCTGGCTCATCAAAGAGCTGATACAATTCAAAATTATATCTTCTGCGCCACTGCCCTTGGTCGTTTGCAGCTCCAAATATTTTGCGGAGTATTTTACGCTCAAATATTCCCAAAAGTCTTTCATCTTTCTGCGTTAGTGTCCATGTTTCTGCTCCATATGTGAGGACCGGCCTCAGCAATGTTTTGTATATAATAATTTTAGTTCTTCTTTGAATGTTTCTTGAGTGGAAATGCTTTTGGAGTCCATAGTATGCCCTATTTGTAAGATTTATTCGTCTTTTGATTTCTTCGCTTGTTTTATTGGTAGCAGTCAACAGCGACCCAAGGTATGTGAAGTTGTCAACACGTCCAAAGGTATGACTTCCAAAGACTGTTTCTCGTTCCTCATTTGCTATCGGATCCTTTGTAACCAACATGTACTTGGTTTTGTCTTCGTTGATGACTAGACCGACCTGTTTCGCCGCTGTTTCCAATTCTAGGAGATATTGCTCAACATCTCGCTTGCTACGCCCTATTATGTCAATGTCATCAGCATATGCTAAGACCTGTATCGATCTATTGTAAATAGTACCGCCGTCCCTAATTCGTGTATCTCGGACTGCCTTTTCTAAGGCAATATTAAATAGGAGGCAAGCCAGAGCATCTCCTTGTCTGAGTCCATCCTTTATCTCAAAGGATGTAGAACTCTCTCCCTGTATTCTAACAGTGGCTTCTAAGTTAGACATTGTCATTCTCGTTAGTCGGATAAGTTTCTCTGGTATACCAAATTCATGCATTGATTGGTATAGCACTGTTCTCTTGACACTGTCGTATGCTGCCTTGAAGTCAACGAATAGGTGATGAGTTTCAATATTGAATTCTAATGTTTTCTCGATTCTAATGTACCTTTCTTAATAACAACATTTTATTAAATCAAGTTGGCTTAAATCGTAATATTTTAAAGTGCAGATTCTACGGTTTCTGTTTGTACAATTACTTAAGGACCACCATGTATATAATATAATCTAGAGACTACTTTAATTTTCATCTCACTGGAGCAAGTACATTGTTATTGCAATACTCAAGCCGAATTAGTATTTTACCTATTTTAACTACTTTACCACAATTTACAAGCACTCCCTCACAGGCACTAATAGAAAGCGTGTGTAAGCAAATGGAAAAATGATCAGCAAACGTCTTTTATGGTATTTCGAAAAACGAAAATCAAATGAACAATCTGGGTACCAAAGCTACCACAAGAGATAATCTTGTATCACTCCAAAGCCATATCTCTAAATCAATTAATAGCAAACAAGATCTATATCTTCGATATAGAAGGCTCATTTCTTCAATGCACATTTGATAATATATCATCTCCAGAAAAAAATATACAAGAGATTTTACTGGATAAATACATTTTAATATAAATATTTATTACTGATTGGGTGATGCTTCAATTAATTTGTGCCACACATTACTTTTTCTTTTTGTTTATTTTATAATTATTATATAATTATAGTTGATAAAAGAATGAAATGTTGTTGATTAATTGGCAAAACCAAATAGTATCAAATAAGCTTAATCTTATCCGTTTAATTCTCATAATAATTCCATAAATTATAATTAAAAAAAAAAAAAAATAAATTGTGTTGCATTTTGGTTTTGGTTAAATTCATATTCGTCTGGGCTCACATATGTATGTGTGCATTTATATAAATAATATATTTTCTGTATATTTGGTTTCTAGTTTCTATATTACATCCAAAACTTACCATTTTCAGCGTTAAATTAAGTTCGGAAATACTTTCATTAGACATATTAGTAACTTCTACTTTTATATTTGCTACTTCGCCTACTACAAATGCTTCCTTTTCTAAAAAAACATCCATGGTGATAGGATCGCTGGCACAACACATGCAACATATAGTTTTTTCATCCTGGTAGTTAACTGGACTCTGAAAAATAAAATATTATGTTACACTTAACACTAAGATATCGGTTATTTAACAATTTATTCCTATACTTAGTTAATTCTAAATATTTATTCTTTCTCAATAAATTATAAATATTCATTCAGTCTTTTATTAATAGTTTCTTACTTAACAATTACTAAAAAAAACTAGTGATTTTTGGTTATTAACATAAAATGGGTCAAAAAGAGTGTCTTTATTGAGTGTAACACTAAGGCATGATGTAAATATTCACACTAACGCGATAAAATACATAACCTTATGTTACACACATTTTAAAGTATATTTTCAGTCAGCGCAACACTAGGTTAAGATAACATATACTACTGTTTCACCAAATTAGTTGCTGTAAAACTAAATAACTTACTGTTGCTCCAGAAATTTGGCGCGCCGCTCGCAACGAACGATAATAATCAATTCTTGTTAGTCTTCTAAGATCAGTGGAAGATAATTAATTGATGTGTTGTGAGTTTAGATTATAACATATTAAAAAAGTACAATTGAAAAACTATTTGTCTAATTTTATTGATTTTGGAGAATGAGACATCTCAAATACTTGCTGTGAAAAATACAACATCTAAAATGATATGAGTGCAAGCGAATTTTGAAAAGATGATGATTTAATAGACCCAAATTCTGTACCTGATGAGGAAGAAGATAATATTACAGAAATTAATGACGTAACCACGCTACCAGAAGGTAACGAATTGAGTTAAAATGTAGCGGATAAAAAGAATGAAAATACCCCAAAGAATGAATCTTCGAATAGCAGGAAAAGGTTAAGAGACGATAGTAAATGGAAACGAAATGAGAAAAAGTTTAAGATTAACCTCGGCGAAGAATATATCTCTAGATTAGGAAAAAAGCATGCAGCAAAATATATTCTGTCCGGTTGTGGAGAAAACTGTTCATTTAAATGTTTCCAAAAAATATCCTGTGATTACCGAAAAGAAATTTTCAATAAATATTATGAGCTAGCCAATAAAACTCTTCAGAGAGAATACTTGGCTCGAAGCATTGAAAAAATACTGCCAAAAGATGATACAACGTACAAGAAAAAAACATTCACATGTGATTTCTTTTCTTAATATCAGAGATCAGAAAATCTGCGTATGCAAACTGTTTTTTAAAATAACATTAAATATATCAAAATGTGCCATAGATACGGTTCTAAAAAAAAAATAACTGAGTGTGGTTCTCTAACTAAAGAAGAAAGGGGGACACATTCAAATAGGGATAATAAAACAAGCGACGCTATAACTCAGGGCGTAAGTGATCATAATAAGTTACCAAGAACAGAACCTTACTATTGCAGATCGACTACAAAAAAAGAGTATCTAGAAGGATCACTAAATATCAGTATGATGTATAGGATGTATAAGGAGAAGTGCTTAGAGGAGAATGTGCCATTTGTGAAACAACACATTTATCAGGAAATTTTTAACACAAGGTTTAATCTTGCATTTTTCAAGCGGAAGAAAGATTTGTGTTCAGTATGTGAAGTGTACAAAAATATAAGTGAAAAAGAAAAAATTGAAAAAGGGCAGAAATTGAAAAGCACAATGACGAAATGGTACTGTTGCGCCTGGAAAATGAAAATGATAAGGAATTGGCCTCAGATGATAATATTCGATATTGCAAACCGTGATACCCCTACCAAATGAAAATGTATCCTCTTTTTATTACAAGAGTAAGTTATATGTTCTTAACTCTACAATTTTTAATATTAATACAAAAGAGGGTTTCTGCTACATGTAGCATGAAGGTGAAGCGAAAAGGGGGCAAACGAAATATCAACATTCGTTTTTAATTACACAAAAAAGTATAAAATCGTGTTTTATAGCGACCAAAACAAAAACAGATTTTTAGCAACTATGTATTTGTATTCAGTGGAGTACTTGGACGTTTAACAAATTCTTCACGAATATTTAATTGTTGGACATACTGAAAATGAGGGTGACTCTATGTATTCATGCATAGAAAAAGGGAGAAGTAGAATATTAAAAAGCGGGCCAATTCATGTTCCCTCTGAAGTTATTATCATTATAAAGTCGGCCAAGAAAAAGGGCAATCCTTACTCCGTTACTGAATGTCCACAGAGGATTTTATAGATTGGAAGAAAATAAACTCAATGATGGGCAAAAATTTTAATACAAATGAAAATTGAGAAAAAGTTACTTGAAATGAAAATAAAGTTATACTGGTTAAAAAGGTAGAACCAATAAACATTTTTATAAGATTGAATAGTTGATTTTTATAAGACATCCTATCCCGATTAAGAATATAAGATTATTAATGTAAATAAAAAGAAACTGAGAACAAAACCAGTAAATGTACAATGTTTACCCCCTGTTCATATTGCGACACCAACCATACCTCTAAATAAGAAGAATGATCTTTTCAGCTTATGAAATCATAATCTAATTTCTAAGAAATATCATAATTTTTTCATGTCACTTAATGCATATTCAGAAAATAATGATTCTGAGAGTGAATAAAGTTTAATTATAGACACCTACTTATTTGTTGTTTGAATTTTTTAAATAAAGTAGTTGCTTTCCTTTATTCTGTAGTTTTTATTATATTTTTATATGATGTGTAACATCGAAACCAATATTAAATTATAGGATAACACTAAGACAAATACTAGATATCCTTTTTTTTTTTCAAATAGTTTAGTGCAACAGTAGGACAAGTTCTATTTTTTCTAAAAATTTAAACTTCAATCTTTTTTATATCTAAACACTTTTATTTGTCTTGATATTTTGTACTCTTATCGTAAAAATTATTTCGATTGACTAATTACTAGTAATTTTATACAGATTTAAAATACACACAAATTTTAAAATCGATTTTCTCGCAAACAAAGATTTTGCACATGGCTTACTGTTGCTCTGAGACGACGATATAGTTTGTGATTAGGACTGAGTCAATGTTATTAAATTGAGCGCTATAATCCTGAAACATGTCCTTTTTTTCTAAAAGTTCATGTTCACATCTTTAAAATTTTTGTACTCTTGCAAGTAAAATTTTTGTCAATGCTCATATAGCCGTGTAACTAGTAATTTATATTTATTATTATTTAATTAAACAAATTATAAATATTAAAACTTAAAATAAACTTCTAATTTCACATGAGATTAATTTCTGTGTTCAAAACAATTAAAACTTCTCAGCAGTATTCTTGATACAAGGGGGTAAATGCCGTTAACCTGGCCCATAGAGTACAGAGTCATATTCAGTCACTCCCATTAGTAGGAGTGGCCCAGAAAGGGTTGAAATAGATGAAAATATCTATAGAAGGCCTATGTTCAACAATGGACAAATCAGGGTTGATTGATGATGATGATTGGTTACTACGTCATTCATTCTTAAAATGTGAGCAGCCAATTAATATATTGTATCTATCCTCTAATATTTAGCAGTTCCAAAAATATATTAATAATACATTGAAAGTCACAGCAACAAAAGGCATCGATATATTGAACAAATGAATAGTCAACACAATGCAACAGGCTCAAACTAAATATTGCACAACAAACAAAAAGGATGAAAAACCAAGTCAACTTACGAAAACCTTTATACGAAAAAGCTGTGTTGATGTCTTTCTATACCATGCTCTCAGGTTAGCAAGCCAGGATATTCTTCTTCGTCCCTGAGGCTCCGTTTTCTTCAATTTTACCTTGCAAAATGCATTGAAGTAGCTTGTACCTGCCTTGACTTCTCAATATATGTCCCAAGTACTGCAGCTTACGGCCCGTCACGATGTTGCCCAAATCTGTGGCCTCCGCAGTACTTCTTCATTGGTGATTTTGTCTGGCCATGGTATCTTCAGGATCAGGTGTACTCAGTGCACCGTACAGGTGCACTGAGTACACGTAACATTTAAGGAGTCTTATTTTTGTTTCTAGGGTGAGGTCATAGCTCTTGAAAAGAGAGCTCATAGTCAAGAATGCACTTTTTGCCTTTCCGATGTGACATTTAATCTCTTGGGTATTGTCCCACGACTCATTGATTATAGTTACCAAGTAGTTGTATTGTGAGACACTTTCTATTCTCATTTGGTTCACATACGTATTTGCTCCAGTTATGTTTTCCTTGCTGATGATCATTAGCTTGGTTTTGCTGGTGTTTATATCCAGTCCATATATTCTACTTGTTTCCGTTATTTTGTTCATTAAGTTTTGCAGCCCTTCTATGGTATTGGAAAACACAATTGTATCATCTGCATACCGCAGGTTATTGAGCTTGAGTCCATTTATTCAGATGCCTTCATCAATATCTTCTAGAGCCTCTTAAAAAATGTGCTCCGATTACAGATTTAATATCAGTAATGAAATTATGCACCCATGTCTCACTCTCGTTAGGATTTTGACCTAATTTGTATATTCTCCATCTATTTGGAGCACCGCTGATTGATTTCAATACAGGTTAGCTATTATTTTTAAGTCTTTTCCGTCAATCCCTCTCCTTTTCAGCACTTTCATTAATTGTTCATGACAGACTCTATCGAAAGCCTTACAAAAAAAAACATTACAGCTGACATATATATTTCTGAAACAATACCTGCCGCTAAATACAGCTTCGCTCGTACTAACGGCGTTTACAAATCCAAACTGATTGGGCGCAATTTGTTCCTCGCATTTCCGGTAAATTATTTTGTGGATGACTTTTATTCAGCAGATGGCTCATTAGGCTTATGGTCCTATAGGCTTCACAAACTTTGCTCCTGGCTTTTTAGGCAATGGTACGAACTCCGATTTAAACTACTCTACTGGTATTTTTCTTGCCTTGTATATATCATTAAATATGTCAGTTATTATTTTTATCTGTTCTGCATCTAATAGCTTCAACAGTTCTGCAGGAATTTCATCAAGTCCCGGTGCCTTTCCATCCTCCATTTGTCTGACGGCTGCCGTTGTTTCTTCTGCTAGGATTTCGGGACCTGAATTTTCTTCAATGGTTGGCTATTGTATTGTTCTAAGGTCATGGAAAAGTTTCTCCAAGTATTCGTCCCATACTTTTTTATCTTCTTTGGTTATGGCAAGATTGCCTTCATCATCTGTTATTTTCCGCTGTTGTGTTTGCGGAACTTTCCAGCTATTTCTTTCACCTTTCGATGAACACTGAAGTTATCATATGGACTCTGATACCCTGAATAGATATATATGGAGAATATCTCCATACCTTCAATATCACAGCAAACAAACAATATGAGAATATCAGTAAAAAAAACTAAATGTATAGTGATCAGTAAAGAGCCGCGTAGATGCAAACTAGAAATAGACGGCAAAATTGTAGAACAAGTAATCAAATTCAATTACCTAGTAGTAGAGATCACCAGTAACAGGGATATAAGAACAGAGACCACAAGGCAAGCATCAAAAGCGGCAAGAGTAAGTGGTTGCCTCCGAGAAACCATATGGAGAAACCAATATCTGACCACGGAAAGCAAAATGAAAGTATACAAGACAACAGTAAGACCAATCCTAACATATGCAGCGGAGACAAGGACCGATACAAGAAAGAAACAACAAATCAACAATATCGAAATGAAAGTATTAAGATCAATAGCGGTCATATCATTAAGAGACAGACAAACCAAAAGAAGTATATGCGAACAATGCAAAATTCAAAATATTAACGGGTGGATAAAAACAAGAAAAAAAAAACTGAAACGAACATATAAACAGAATATAGGAATGGGAAGAGAGATGCTACAGAAAATGTAGATTTAAATATAAACATCTCTTATACAAAAATAATGACAAATTTGATACCCAACTCAAAAAGTTTCTCTACTAGGCAGGGATAATTAGACTGACATGAACTGAAGAGAAAAAGTTTTGGGAGGGCAGCATATAAAAAACTGAGAGAGACTTCTAAAAGTACATACCTGAAGATAAAAGTATTTGATCAATGCGTTCCCAGAGTTGACATACGGAGCAAAAACACTTACTTTAACAAAAGTTTTGGCTACCAAACTGAGAGTCACACAGAGAAGAATGGAGCGATCCATGTTAGAAATAAAACTGCGAGACAAAACAAAAAACCAAGAGGTCAGGAGAAGAACTAGGGTAACCGACGTCATCGAAATGGCATCCAGACTACAATGGAGATGGGCAGGAAATATAGCTAGAACGGCGGGTGGGCGATGGTCAAAGAGGTTATTGGAATAGAGACCAAGAGAAGATAAGAGAAGCGTCGGTAGACCACTTACTCTTGCACTCCTCACGACGGACTACACGATCCAAAAATCAAATAAGGTGATCTTATTAAAATTTAAAAAACTCTATAAAAAGCTCTATTGCCTAAACTGAAATTGTAAATATCACTTCGATATTTAGTTACTGGAGACTCCTTTAAAAGTTTAGATTATTTATTTAGAATCCCCAATAATCCAAAGGGCATTTCTTGATTTTACGTGAAATTTGAGAAAGCCATCCATCATTTTGAACTAAACTTTACGGGTTTAAATTTGAAGAATACCCATACTTCATACTCTGCTTATTTGTTGTAGTTTTTGCATATCTACGCATATTTTTAACTTTCATTCTTCTTCTTCGTATTGCGCCGTCTCCTTTCGAAGGTTGGCGATCCAAATGGCAATTTCAGCTTTGGAAACTGCTGCACGAAAGATTGCTGTGCAAAAATAGACAACTTGATGGCCAGCAGCAATATTAACAGAGGTTAAATTTATTTCCAATTTTCTGTAATCAGTATGTCAAATTTGATGCACTTGATTTCAGAAACTTTAGTGTTTTTTTATATGAAATCAACACTTTCATAGATTTGGTCATTTTAAAATTACTAGTGCCATTAATAAATTTTTGACTAAATAAACATGAAATGTTTTTGTGCCCCTCTATACGTTCATTGTAGCAACTATTTTATTCCTTCTATAGAAAATTTGTTCAGTTTGTTGTTGTAAATGCTCCAATTATACATTCCACGATTGTGTTGGGATAAAGATTCGATCCAAGCTAAATTAGAAATTAAGTAAATTCACTCTTAAAGCTACTGCTTCACCACAGACACCAATGACATCACTGAAATTTTCAATTCTAAAAACTAACCTATGCTTTAGAAGTTTTGAAAATACTTAAAATATACCACATGTAGTCAAGTGAGGTTTGACTTTGAATGGCCTTGAATGTCAATTTTATTACGTTACTGACAACTAACTTTCTTTTATATTATAAATATAACAAAAAGGGCTTAAATGTGATTAAGAAAAAAGTATATTTTCACTTCCTTGTGTGGGAGTGACTAAGGATACAAAAGGAGGAATTCCAAGGCCTGCTATAATTACGATTTGTTTTCGAAGGCTGTGTACAATTTATATAAAAATTCGAAAGCAACTTTTTAATTTTAGATAGAGAAAATTTAGTATAATTTAAACCACCTTACCAGTTGTAACTCATGTTGAATATCATTAAAATTTATAGGTACAATTAAATGTAATGTCACCTCATCTTCGTAGTCAAAAGCGAATGCTTTATCAACATTCGCTTTAATGTAGTACCTAATGTACCCATAATTACCATTATATGGGTTGGGAATACCACTTCTTGGAATTGTAAAAGAAAACTCATATTCATAGTGCCCAGCTTGTAATGTACCTTGAAAATATATTATTATAATTGTTTAACTAAAATCTAGTTTTAAAACATTCTGCAAGGCTATTGTAAATATTTTAAGTTGTGCGCATTGGATATAATTGAAAAACATATACTCAATATTTAACATTTATGAATAAAATTCCAGTCGTTTTAGTAAATAGATAGTACTAATGATAATATATCTAAAGGAACGATTCAAAGTTAATTGGAATTGGTCAACAGAAATCACAAGAGCATGTATAATATGATGTGAGCGATGTGTGCCTGCCTAGTTCCTGGTTATACAACTAACTTAACATTAAATCTACACACTACAAAAGGTAAACAGGTTTTAAAATCGTTAAAATATATTTGAACATGTGATATAGTTACTATCGCTAAAATGAGTTACTATTGGTATACAAAAAGTGCAATAAAAACGACAGAACAAGTCAAATAACCGACAGACCTGCGTCCGAATGTTGTTTTATCGATCTGCTTGCGACATTTGTCTCGGTATTTTTAGATCTTGTAATTGTTTTCTGCTGTGTTAATACACTTACACACAGGACACAGAAGGTAGGGAAACGGATCGAAGTAGTAGAGATGGAGCGGGCCAATAAACACTCGGCCCGATGAGGAACGGACGGTCTCCAATCAGTACTTGGACACAGGAGAGAATAGGTATGTCACAGTCAATATCCTTGGGCCAGTGGAGTTGTCAGATCAATACTCCCACAAAACTGTTGATTCTCTTGCGGCGGCTGCTTTTTATACAGTCGAAGGCCTTCCATCTTCTCTAGCGCACATCGTTGGAGGAGGAACTATTTGTAGGGATGCGTGAATACTAAGCGCTGACGAATCGAGGCGATGAAAATCGTTACAGTTTGATGGAGATATGTGTTTTCTCCATTTGGCCTTACGAGCCAGAAGCATAGAACACAATTTCTATAAATGTATTTCTATAAATGTATATAATAAATGTACAACGCACATTTCTGACGTACATCAACAATAAATAAAAATCAATCAAATTCACCATGAAACAAGAAAACAATAATTGACTTCCGTTTCTGGACGTGCTAATCACAAGAAAAAACACAGGATATTCAAGCAAAGTCTACAGAAAACCAATCCACGCCAATAGATATTTACATTATTAATCCAACCACAACGTAAATATCAAAAAAGGAATTATCGAATTGCTATATGATAGAGACCGAAGAACCTGCTCTAATGAAAATGAATTTCGGGAAGAAAAAAACCTGCTAACAAAGGTTTTGACTAAAAATGACTACCCACTGTCATTTATAAAATATCACAAGAAATCCAGAAACAACCAACATACTGAGGTATATTCTGTTTAAAACCAAAACCAACAACACACAAGAAAGATGAAAAACTGTATCTATAACATAGCCTGTGAATGCAACAGTTTCTACGTGGAAGAAACCGCAAAACTACTACGTACTAGTATAAACGAGTATGAAACAGATCAAGAACAGAGACTTCAAAAAATCGCAGATATGCAAATATACCTGGAGCAATGAGAGTACATTACAATGGAAAGATGCATCAATAAACATGAAAGAAACAGACATGAAAAATAGAAAAGTCAAAGAATCAATCCGCATCCTACTTAACGACGAAAAATGCCCATCAACAGAATACAGCAGACTTTAGTTGGCAATACTACAAGAAAAAATCAACAACAAGAACATATCAACAATAATAGGAGGTCGGAGAAACATCACCTACAATATTATACACAATACATATGCAACAATATACAAATCTACGTTGCACAAATCCACGTTGCACAACTTACGTTACAAAGCCACAATCATTATACAGTTTACACAAACACGTAACACAAAAAAACACGCAAAACAGTCAGAATTTGATAGTTCTAAGGTAAAAACACCACCCTCAGATTTTTTTCAACCATTTACATGCTGTTGCCCACAATATCAAAAGTATGTCAATTTTGTAAGAAGAATTGATTAACGGACGATTTTAATAAATAATAATAAATATAATTTGATTACCAACTACAACACTTCTTGAATTTACTGCAGTTATTAACATTTACTCACATTTGTTTACCCACATTTGTGTCACATGCTAGACTAAAATTAAAATTATTCTATTTTTGTAAGTTTTTATTTTATACTAAATTGTTTGAATATATATTTTTAAGTCTTAAGTACAAGGGGTGCTACTTTTACAATAGCTCTACTTCAGTGAGTTTTAATATGCTTTTTGTTTCTTGTAATCTATATTATAATGTAAGGTTCCTGAATAAACATTATTATCATTATGAAGATTTAGCCGGACCGCTCACACTCCCTCTAAGGGTGACAATTCACTCATCCCAGACCCCTACGGTATCAAAAGGATTGAGCTCTGGTGGGACTCTTTCCATATTATCGAACCCTAGGCGACTTGGTACGTTGGAGTATCTCCCAAAAATTTTCGTATGCATCTAGATATTGAGAACAGTAGGTACTGCTTTTTGCACGGTTCATTAAATTCATCCCATAAAATTTTCTTACGCATCTAGATGTTGAGAGCAGTAGGTACTTCTTTTTGCATGGTCTTATAGAGATGTTCATTAAGAGTTGTTGTATGTTTTCTAAGAGAATAACAGGTATCGTCTGAATACTTTTCATTCTCTATTGTCTCCATATTTGTATTTCCAGATCTCTGTAATTGGGGATTTTTACGTTGTATTTAACAAGCAGATTATTATTGTTAGGTACCGCCACATATATTATCTTTCCTGGTGTCAACCAAAAGTTCGACGCCGTATTGTCGACATATTCTTGGCTGATTTCATTGAGATGTCGCCCATGCAGAGGTTTACTCATCCAGGTGCGCATTTTTTCTTGCTTAGTTAGGTGGTTTATGTGCATTTCTTGTTCCCCCAGTTTGAGCGGTGTTGTGTCATCTACTGCGCAAATTGCTCGATGTAAAGTAGATATCTCAGCCTGCATCTGAAAATAATTAGATACATCTACTGCACTGCGTGGATAATATTTTGTGCCTTTGTCAGATGTGTTCTTACTTTCCGCTGGAGACTCCCTATATCCGTTTTTGAGCACTTAATAATACCAAATGAGTAACTAAGCACGGAACAGGCGTACGTATTTAATGCCTTAAACAGATTTTTACTATGAAGATATGACCGATTTAGCTGTCTTACTCTTCGCACAAACTCAGAAATTAGTTCGATTTTCATTTGTTTATGGTACAATTTTCCGCGCTTGCTTTACCCCTTCCCTCATCGCCAATTTTCCCTCATTGCCTCGATGTTTTGGCCACCTTGCACATCGAAACCTCCGGGCTGAACCTTTCCTCTGACTATTTAGAACACGGGACGTTTCTAGTCCAAAATGCATACTGATATCACTTGAGAATGTTTCCACAGTTGTTAGCATCTAATCCAGGTGGTTTCGACTGGAAACTATTAATTTCAGATCATCCATATTCAGAAAATTAATAACAAGTTTATTATAAGTTGTCGAGTCGATTATAAGTTGTTATTTGCAGCTCATGGAACACTTACCGCATCCTTTCTGTTGTGGCTCTACGATATTGTTTAGAGAAGAGTGTTGGTAGATACGTTAAGGTACACAGGATGTGACCAATTTTGTACACAGTCCGATTTTTCGATTATAGAGTACCCCGCTCATATTTTTTCAGTTGTATCCTGTGGACAATTTCTAGATCTATCTAGTATCCCGTTTTCCGTTATGTAGGAGCCAAGGTATTTAAATTCTCTTACTCGTTCTAGTTTCATTTTTGTGGCATTGTTTGAAATGCCGTTTGATTGCAGAGAAAGTAAAATAATTTTATTCCAATTTCTTTAATATAAATATTCGCAGCAAACCAATTTTCGTCCATGCTAATTTTTTGTTTTTATAGAACAGGTAACTATAGTTTTTTTACTTCAAACTATGTTTAAAGAAATTAATTGATATTCAGACATGTTTAAATTTGAACCTAATGTCATTCGCATATTTGTTAATTTAAATTTTGCAGTACTTGTTAGTCGGCTAGTTATGTAACTAACTTCATTTGGAATTATAAAACTAAATTTAGATGTTTAATTAACTAATTCTAGTGATACATTGTTTATGTTTACGTCATGTGTGACCATGACTTACCTTTTCATTTTTGGGATAAGACACATACTAAATTTCCCATTATCTTTTATCTAACTGACATTAAGTTATTACTACAACTTTACGGACAATTGTAACAGATTAATACAAAGTTCTCTTTAAAAATAAAAATATTTTATTATACGCTAAGTTTAAAATTTAAAAACCAAAATGTAATAGCATTAAAGAGATAATAGAAATACAGAATATTGAGGAAAGAGAAAGTGTCGAGATAAAACAAATACTTTAAGAGCTATAAAACGATCTACTTATACGTCCAAAAATAATCAGCCAAAATATCGACCAATAACGACAACCAAAAAGTAAAGCTTTCTTAGAAGAAGGTTGCGTTTCAATTTAATTTGGGTCTCTTACCACTCCCTGACACGTGTTTCTGTGTCTATCCGTCATCAGAAGGAGCTTGTAAGAAAACTCAAACCAAATCAAAAGGCACCGATTACTCTGGCAATTACAGGAAAATATCTACCAGGGTATGCAACTAGAGACCTCTAGTGAGGAAAGATGAAGATACGTCGATAGTAATTGAAGTAAAATGTATACCCAAGCTTAATCAAGCCATTCAGAGAGGTGCTGGGAATAATTATAGGTATTTAAAATAGGTAAAGAAACTTTTAAGTGTTTTCTATTTTAGTGTGTTTTAAATTGTCCTTAATGGTTTTAATTCTAATATTTTATTTACTCGACTTTGCAATAATCTACTATTTTGCCAATAGAACTTTATCAAATAAATTTGATAATTACAAGTTGAAAAATAATTGCACAACCACACAATTTGTACATCTAAACTTATTCATTGTCATAAAACTGTCACTTCATAAAACAATTACTCGATAA